AGTACAAACCAAACCAAACCAAAGAGCAGGGATGGTTAATCACAATCACAGTGGTCTTATTTTCTCCCACACCCTTACTTAGGCTCTGTGTGGTTGGCAGAGGTAGCAACAGTTTCCCTTAAACTAAGCACAAGCATTAGGAGAGGAGGGAAGCAACGAGAGTTTGGTGATGTTCAGGACATCTCTTGTTTTATTTAATGATGGCTGTAAAGTGCAGGAGAAAAAGTTTAAACATGGTACTTTGTGCAAGCATGCTAAAGAGAAACTATAAAAGTGCTGTCTTAGTCACTGTTCTATTGCTGTGAAGAGACACCATGACCACAGCAAACTCTTACGAAAGAAAGAATTCAATTTGGGCTTGTTACAGTTCAGAAGTTTAGATTATTTTTATCATGGTGGGAAGCATAGCTGCACCTAGGCAGACATGGTGCTGGAGAAGGAGCTGAGAGTTCTACATCAATCAGGATTTGCAGGCATCAGGAAAGAGAGCCACTGGTCCTGGCTGGGGCTTTTGAAAACCCCAGAGTCCACCCTGAATGACATAATTCCTCCATCAAGGCCACATCTCCTAATCTTTCCAAAAAGTGCCACTCCCTGGTGAACAAGCATTCAAATCTATGAGCCTATGGGGGAGGGTAGTCTTATTCAAACCACAAGTGCTTTCTGAAAGTGAACTGGTGAGTTTACCATAGTATGTACTGAAAAAAGAAAGAACCCTCAGAATATTGAGTATTTAATACTTCAGAGTTTTAGGACATAGCTGTCCTAAGGAAAGGGAAAGCTACTGTACAATGACTATAATGTTGCTTTCTGTACTTCCAACAGCTAAGGGATTTTAAACTTCTACAGAGGCCTTTTACTAAATTCTCATTAACTCGGGACTATTCACTGGATCAGACTGAAGTATCTCCTGTCTCATTTTTAATTTTACCTCGATCCTTGCATATCCCCATGTCCCAGATCAGAATCCAGTCTCTCCCCTCCACTTGCTTTCTCCATAAACAGTGGCTTCTGTTCTTGCTCTTCTTCAAAGCTACTGAAACTGAATTTTTGTCTTCCAGGGGTCTCTGGCTGTGTTTTAGCCTTTAGGAGTCTCTAACAATGCTTTCATCTTTTAGGAGAATAACAGTGACTGGTCCAAAAGATGACTAAGCAAACCAAACTTCTGGAGTACACTGTCAAACTTTCTGGACCACTAGTCTCCACCAACCATAAAGGAAAGAATGTTGTAAGGCAGTATTTGAAACTTAGAACCTACACTGAACCTGTATTTGAAACTACAACCTACTTACCTAATATCTTCACCAATATAATTGGTATATAGTTCTATACCAGTTGGTTTTCCAATAGATTAATTTGCCCTCAAGGGACACTGTCAATCTCTGGAGATATTTTTAATAGCCAAAACCTATAACCTTGGTATCGTATGATGGCACAGGCAACTCTGAATATTTTAAAACACAGAGGACAATTCCTTACATTAAAGAATGGGCTGACTCTGAATGGCAGTAGTGAGAAACCCTGGTCTAACCCTTAGGAAAGAGATCCAGGCAATGCAGGTCTACGATAGCTAGTATGCAAAGACCCTGAGAGACGTTTATAGTTGACAGAGAGGATTTTTATGAATAGTGGTCTTGGAATCAGAGATTAAAGAGTGAGAAACAGATATCTTTGCATCTGTAAAAACACTGTCATTTCTATACTGCTGAAGATAAATGTTTCTACAAGCCCATGTTAGTTGGGATTATGTGTAATCTTTTGGGCAACAGAAACATAGGAAAGGGCAGAATAAATCTGTGATTAATCTCTATAGTGAGGAAATTTCTGAGATCGAAGAAGCCAAAAATCCTTAACATAATACAGATGTGCAATTGGAAAACATTCTCTGTAAAATTATCATACTAGCTATTCTCTCTCTCTCTCTCTCTCTCTCTCTCTCTCTCTCTTATTTACTTATACATCCCAACTACCACTATCCCCCCTCTCCTCTCTCTTCCCAGCCCCTCCCCTACGTCCCCCTTTCATTCTTTTGAATCAGGCAGAGTCTGTCTCTACCTCTATGCTTTTATTTACACAACTCCTTGTCCTTTACTCTCCACTCTTCTGTTGCTTTACCTAAACCTAAGCCATCTCTTTGGATGGTCAGTTCAAGATTCATCTCCTAGAACCATGTCTGCCCATACTATTTCTTCAATGGTAGCAATACTCTGTTTTCTAATCTCCTAATTTTCACTTAAAAAAAAAAAGCCACACATGCCCCATTTCCCCAATTAAGAATAGATTTCACTGGTGTCAGATACCCTATTGTAAACATTAAGACTTGCCCATGTACTTTATATAGACACCCTATCCCATTCCTTTCAATTTTATGGGTAATGAGTTTTGTCTGTAACAATAGTTAGTATTTACTAAGTCTTTACACACACCAGAATCTGTTCTAAGTATCTAATATCTAATACCTTATTGTTCTCCCCTTTTGCAGAAAAGGAAATGGAGGGAGACTGTGTAAGTCACTTTCTAAAGTCATCAGGGCTAAGAGGTAATAGAATTCAAACTCAAGCATCCTAAGTCCAGAACTTATAATAGGCAAAGCAGTTCCCTCCATCTGCAAGAATGTAAAGACCAAAGGTAGAGGTGGGCAGACATTGGTTGTTGCTTTTAAATTCTTCATTTGCAACTGAAACCACTTATACTGACTCCAGAGGGTCCATAGAAAGAACAAAAATCACAGATATAAAATATTGTCCCAGTCACCATCAGAACCAGCTCCACTGTGTAGCCCGGCCAGAATTCAAGGCCCCCTTTCTCTTCTCAGTGCTGCGGCTGGTGAGGGGTAAGGGAGTGGAGGGCATTACCCCTAGCCCAAGCCACGGTGGGGCCAGCTCTTCTACACCACCCCCTCCACCAGGTACCTTGTTTGTACCTTGTGGTAAGACAGGGTCTTACCACATAGCCCAGGCTAGCCTAGAACTCTCAACCTTCCTGCTTCTGTCTCTAGAGTGGGGGAGCTATAGGTATTTGTCATTGTCCTGGCTCATTTTTGTACTCTTTTTGTCACTTTTTATCATAGTAGTCTAAATATTTTCACCGTGATTAAGTACCTCTGAGATTCTCAGCCTTCAATAGCTCTACATAATCCTAAAGGCTAAACTCCCAAATTCTTTTAAAATAGTGTCATTTGTTCTATTTGTTACATTCTCTGTTTGTTGTCATTTTTTTTCCTCCTAGATTCTAAAACCTGTATCCAACAAGCCTCTTTGCCCTGTAATGATCCCTACCATTGCTCTCTCTGTTGAGCTCAGGGGTACACTATGGACTCCTTGAGATGTTTTTTTTTTCTACTGCTAAATGGCATGTGGTTAGGTAGATGTAGTTCTAAATTGTAAGGATAAACTTCTTTAACATATGTGCTTTAGTCCACACTGTATAGCACACAGTGCCTCATGAATGGGAGTAAGAACATTTACTGAAAGCTGGCTAGTCGTTATGCTCGCCTACATGCCTTACACAAGCATATGAACTCATTTGGTCCTCACAACAACCCATTTTACATAACAAAAAACAGACTCAAAGAGTTTAAGCAACTGGTTAAGGTTCTATCACAGAGCCTGGGCTCTATATCCAAGCAGCTTGGCAACAAAACTTACTTTATTAACCACCATGCTACAGGCAAAAATTCAGTAAAATATACTAATTTGTGTAAAAGGGATTCAAAACCTATGCAAGACTATAATGCACAAATCTAAACAAAATACTTCGGTGGTATCTCCAACCAAGGAGGAGCAGCAGTAGTTTTTGTCAAAGTCACCTAATCCTTTGTATGAAATCTTTACACTTCAAGATTAAACTGCTACTTGTTAAGAGGTTCATGGTAAGTAAGGGACTGGAAGCTGGAAGAGCACCAAGGACTTGTAGGCTAGAAAAACAAACAGTGGAGCAAACCGAAAAACCCTGACAAGTCTGTTTGCTACATTGTTATTAAGCAACAATTATCAAACAGTATTAAATAATAATCATGAGAACCCACTTCTAATCCTTTGTGACAATACACTAACATTACTTAATTAATTTCCTAAACACCCCAAGCTTGTAAAACAATCAAATAACACTAATTATCTACAATGTAAGGCAAAGAGGTGCAGACTGCTGCACCGTTTAAAAGCTACTTCTCCTCATCAGTAGCTCATAAAACCATGAATGAATACTGCAGGGTTTTTATTGCTCATCCAAATAATGGCATCTGAGTCTTATCTGACTTGAGACATCTGCCCAAGGACACTTTAAGATTACTATCTAGATGGAGGTTTTCCAGCTGACTACCACCAGCAAAGGCACCCAATTGTCCTTTCACTTAAAAGTTAGCCAAATGGATCTGTCAATTGTCTAAATAGAGAAACACTCTTCAGGAAAGCTGTCTATTTCAGGCACCCGAAGACATAGCATAAAGTCCAGCTAAAAATGTAGGTTGGCACAATGGTTCTTTTGGCCATTGCCCACTCTGACTGGTAAGAGGTCTTCTGTTATTCTATAATATATTCTGTCTTCTGCACTGTGCTGTGTCCTAGTTCCAAGCTCAGAAGCTCCAAGGGAGCAAAGGGAGGCCAGAAAAATGCTGGTGCTCTTTGGGTCCTCAGAGTCTAAGGTAGATCCCTACAAGGGAGTTGCACAGGTCCCAGCAGTGAGATAAAACCTAAGAAATTCTTTCCCCGAACGGCTACGTCCCAGAAATATGAGGTCCCTTCCAGCTGGGCTGCTGAAGGGAAGAGAGTGTCATTAGGCTCAACGAGCAGGCCTAGATTTTAACCATTAAAAAATAATCATCATCATCATCCGAGGAAATGTGGCACGAGCTGGGACCGATTCTGAAGGAAGTCTAGATGTCGGTGAAAGGTCCGTAGAGACCAGCCCCAGGCCCAAACCCCCGGCCCATTAGAAGACGACGTTGCCAGGAATCAGTGTGGCCCCAGGCCTCCCGAGACTGTCGCTTCGAACCCACTCACCAGTCGGCTGGCACGCCGCAGGTGGAGCGCAGAGACCACCATCCTGGCTTCAGGCAGGGTGGTTTGTTAAGCTTGCTAGGCTTACTACAAAACCCTTGCACAAGACGCCCTGGGTGGGGCAAGCTCGGGCCCTGCCCACTCTGAGCATCCGCCCCTCACACACCCCTCGAGTCCCCGCCCACTCGCCCCTACGGAACCCCAGGAGAGACATAATTTTCTCCTTGCTCCCTACAGCTCGCTCACGCGAGACTTGGGCAAGGCGGGGGGCGGGCGGGAAGGGAGCGGAGACACAACAAATATGGCGGCTACAGCTGCGACGCTGACGAACGCTGAGGCGGTGGCGGCGGCGGCGGAGAACAAGGCTGTGGGGATTCCTCGGTGCAGTTGTCAGGTGAGCGATGGGAGGTCAGCTTATACCGCGGCGCTACGGTTACGCAAGGCACGTTGACGGAATGGCGGAAGGTAAAGTGCCGGGTTCATTGCTGGCCGGCTCACACTGCCTTAGCCTTGGCCACAGCGGAGGGTCCTGCGTGCCCCGTGGGCTGTCAGCGTGGTGACTCGGGACTTTCCTGGGCTTGTAAGTGACTGGGTCCGCCGCCCGGAGGCTCGTGAGTCGGCGCCGTCGGGCGGGAGCTCGGAGGTCAGGGTGGGGAGCTGTCTCCTGCTTTGACAAGTGGCGATCGTCGGGAGCGCTCCCTGTGCAGTGCGTTCTCGGGGTGCCAAAGTCAGGAGTCGACCCCAACAACCTCAGTGTATCCTGGAGAGGGTGTTACTTCGATACCGGTCCCGGGCTGCTGTTGGGAAGGAGTTTCTCAACCCTCGAGTTTTCTCTCCTGAACTGGCTTCTACTGTCTGTACTTTCCGATGTTGGGAACATTGAGGTTGGGGAGGATTTACGTTCCCGGTCGACTGTCGGGAGTGCTCTTGGATGCTGAGCGTAGCTCCTCAGCTAAACGTCCAGGTGTCTTAACTGTAGATCCTAAGTATAGTCAGTGGTAGCTGCCAGTAACCACATGGCCCATTTAATGACCCCCTTATGTGCTGGTCAGAACCGGACAGAGGAGTGACAAGTGAGAAAGGACACGAAGACTTCTGAAGTTGTGAGACCCAGGGAAATTTCATATAGAAGACACAAAATGAAAACAGCTGCTTAAAATATCTGGACTACTTTAAGATTTTTGTCTTGAGCGTATGTTGTCTTCAGCACAGGTGAGGATGAATGTTTTGGAAGTTGCTTGCAGTGAACTGGGTTGTTCTTTTCCCGTCATGGTCCCGTGTTTCCCAGGAAACCGTAACTGTTGAAAGGTTCTTCATTAAGATGGGAATCAGATATGCCGTTGTTGAGCTCTGATGGTTGTTGCATATATATATTTCCCTGGTATAGGGCTAATGTACTTTTATATGCAACTGGACTCAACTGGACTTATTCAGCAATATTAAGCCTGACATCCCTTGAAATTAACATATTAAGTATGGCAGCATGATAGTTACACAAGTGGCTAGGATATAATTGTGGGCCACCAAGCTTGCCCTAGCTTTTTTCTTTTTTTGGTCTGTCTGTCGGCTTAGTCAGCTTAGTTTGTTTTCAGCTAATGATCATGAAACACAAGTTACGTTATTAACTTGTTATTAAACCTGTAGTCCCTAGCAAAGTTTTCACTTGTGTGTCTCTCTTTGCAGACTGTTTGTGGCTTTTGAATTTTAGTTGAAATTCCCTCCATGGCCTTTTGGAGTCCTTTGGTGTGTCTCCAGAGTAAATTTCAATTATTCAACATTTCAGCAGTGTTGCTGTGGAAAGAAAAAAGTGAAACTAATTTGGGGTGAACAGGTTAGATGGTATCATTCTTTTTTGGCTTTCTTCTGATGTGGCTTCGTTTCTGTTTTCCTTTTTATGTTTTCTGATTTCTCAGAAGAGCCTTATCACAGCGTTGATGCATTCAGAGTCTTTAGCAGACAGGAACTCAGGAATTGTGTTCTAACTCTTTATGAAGGTCCATGTTACTCTGCATGCACTAAGTCTCATCAGCCTTCTTTACTAATGTATATTCTCTTTGAGAATAAATCTTTCAACGTTCATAATCAGTAGGTTATAGAAGTAAGTACAGCTATTGAACTGTAAACAACTTCATTAGGCCTGCTTAACTTCTGGGTTAAATTGTCACATAAAAAGTTGGGCTAAGTATTCTTCTTTATCATTAGTAACCCTTCAGTTTAAACATTCCCAGCACCTTTGTTTGTTTTTTTGTTTGTTTGTTTTGATTTTAAGGTTCTACATATTTTGTTGCTGAAACCAGTTAGTTCATGTGGAACAGATGAAAGCAAACCAAACTCCAATTTAAACCTGTACACAAGTAGCCAGGATGTGGTTTTGTCATTAGTTTTCATCCGAATCCCTTGGAGGAATGAAACAACTTTGGTTTTGGCCAGAAATTTCTTGATTTTGAAAGTCGTGGGAAAACATGGCATGAAGGCGAGTGAGGCATGTGCTGTGTGATGGCGGAGGAAAGAGGACCCTTTGATTTTTATATTATCTGTTTCGTAGGTGTACTTACCTTCCGGTTTGCATCTTAACACCTCTTTTAAATAATTAGCTCCTGATTAAAAGGTGTTTGATTGTATATGTATTTACACACACATAGGATATATGAAATATTAATTCTTAGATATTTTTCCTCTGCTAGCTTGAGCAATATGTCTTATAATCATAAGATTTGGAAGTTTTTCTCTTCTTTAGTTGATGATGTAGATATATATCTTAGTTCACATTCTGCTAACAAATTGAATGGACTGTATATTACTTAGGCCTTGTACTGCTTTGATAAAACACCATGACTAGCCTGCATGGTAGTATACAATTTTAATCCCAGCACTAGGGAGGTAGAGGCAGGAGGATCTTTGAGTTTGAGGCTATCCTGGTCTACATAGTGAGTTCCAGGGCAGCCAGGGCTATGTAGAAAGATCCTGTCTCAAACAAACAAACTAATGAACAAGCTACAACAACTAAAAGTAATGTAGGGAGGATAGAGTTCATTTTATCCTATATTTCCATTAACATTCCATCATTGAAGAAGGGCAGGGCAGGGCAGGGCAGAAACTGTAGCACAGAAGCCATGGCTTTTTGTTAGTGCTTACTGGCTTGCTTCTCATGTCTTGCTCAGCCAACTCTTTATATAGCCCCAGACCACCTGCTCTGGGGTGGCACCTCCCACAGGGAGTTAGTCCCCGCCATGGCTCTTACTAATCAAAGCAGTAGTCCACAGGCTTGCCTTCTGTTAACCTTATGGAAGCTTTTTCTCAAGTAAGATTCCTTTTCCTCCAGGCATTGTGGTGCAAGCTTTTAATTCCAGCACTCAGGTGGCAGAGGCAGGTGGATCTCTGAGTTCAAGATCAACCTGGTTTACATAGTGAGTTCCAGGCCACCAAAGCTACCCTAATGACACCCTGTTTGGAAACAGAAGTTTTTTCCTAGATATGCCTGAATTTGTGTCAGGTTGACAATAACCAACTAGTAGTACAGGATAGGTGATTTAAAGAAGAATTCATTAAAGTTGGAGGCTGGGAAGTTGAGTTTGAGTTGCTAGCAGATACAAGATCTGGTTTCTGGTTATTTACTCATAGTGCAGAAAACAGAAAACAAACTATTATTCTTATAAACCTATTTTGATGGCTCTGCCCTCACAACAAATGTCATATTGGAGGTTAGTATTTCAACATAAAAATTTTCATTTGGAGCAATATCAAGTTAGCATAGAGCAAGCAGATCTGGCTTGCAATGTAGTATTGAAATCTATAATAATATTAGGAATGCTTAAATTTTTTTCTGATGACATTTTGCATTGAAAATATGAGTAATTTCTTGTTTAACAAGTCCAAGGTGTTGAGTTCACAGCCAGTTAGAAAGATACTGAATGAAAAGAGAAATGAAAAGGAAAGGAAAGGCCATGACTGCTCCTTGGTGCAGTGGAGGAGAAAGTTTATTATAGATGTGTGGGAGAGCATAGCCAGAGGCAGACACATATGAAAAAGTCCAGAGTGGTCATTACCCTGAGCCATGATGGGAGAGGGCAAGGGAGAGAGAAGAGAGGGAAACCTGGTGCAGCAGCCAGCCCAAAGGTACAGAAAGGGCAGATGGCCAAACTGATAGGCTTATATAGGGAAGGACAGCCCAGCCCCCTGGGCTGGAACGTTCAGGGTATATGCGAGCAAGCCAGGTGTACTCTGTAACAGGTAGGGAATATTAAGGAGAACTGCTGGGAGAACTTGGTGGCCAGCTCTACTTTGATTTATATGTTAAGTAGGCACCTCAGCCATTTGTCCAGATTTTGAAACTTAACAGATACCATTCTGAAAGATACATACAATCAGTTGTCCCTCTGTATTTGTGGGGGATTGATGTAGGACCCCTTGTGTATACTGAAATCTGAGGATGTTCAATGTCTTACATAAAATGCAATAGGATTGGCATGTAACTTGTTACATATCCTTCTATACACATTTTTTCTTCTTCACATGGGAGTTTTATTGTATCCCTCTAACTGGTCTTGAACTCCTTGAATTCTCTTGCTTCGGCCACTAAGTGCTGGGATTAGAGGCACACACTCACATTCTCTTTATTCTCCAGGTATTTTATACAGCATACGTCGTTCTGATTCTGTATTTAGGGGATGCCAAGGGAAGGGAATCTAAACTGTTTAGGATGCACTTTTTTTTAGAAAAAGTTTTAAATGTTTCTCATTCACATTTGGTTGAATCTCTGTATCTATCATTCATATTATGTTTGTAGGGGTTTTAAAATTTGTCAGTACTGGACAACATCCTCAGTTAGCAGGTTATATATGGAGTTCTTGTTATCAGGATGGTGTGGACAGCAAACCCATATTCTCTTTTTATTGCAGGGGCTCTTTTTAGCCTCATAATTATTGTTTTTCCATATATCATGCTTAGAGGTATTGACCTGAGATGGAAGAAGCTGGGGTTTGAGCCAAAGACTCAGCTTATCTTTAGGCATCTATCATTTACACAAGTCAGTTTCATTGTCCACTGCTATGTAAATAGCTGGCTATCATGCCTATTGCCCACAGAAATACGTAACTTAGATAATACAGGTTTGATGGACACAAAGATGCTTAGAGATGAAAGGTCACTTAAGTTTTAAATCATGGACGGATATGTAGATTAAACCATATAAGTGTGTTTGAATTCCTAATTCAGAAGCTGGTCTTCTTGTCTGCAACGTTTTCAGTTACTTCATTGGCATTCTTTTTTCTTTAATTCATCATGCATAATTGATAGCGGCATACAATTTATGGCAGAGAACACAGTGAAACTTGTAATGTGACAATGTGAATAGCTAAGACTGTCAAAATATGTCAGCCATGCTCTGTAATTGGG